AGAGTTTTTTCTCACTTCCCATCTGCCCCATAGAGTAATGTGAGGAGGTAATTAGGAGGACTGAGGGAGAGGGAGAGTGGTAAGAAAGAAAAGAAATGGGATCTTCATACTAGGTTTAATCATGTCTGAATCTATTTGAGGGGTTCTTGTGCTTTATTTAAAGGCTGTGACAATCTCTACTTGGGGTGTAATATTAAGGAGTTAAAAAAAAAACTCTTTGAAGTCGAATAGGAAAGTGAAGCAGGAATGAAAGCTAGGACATTGGTCCCTGCTTATTTTCTTGGGAGAAACACACACACACATACACACACGCACACACACGCTTCATTTCTTTTCCCTAGAACAATGGATTTCAAACTACTTTTAACCTTGGAATTCTCTGTGCAAATGCAGGGCCAATGGATAAAGCACCTAAAAGAGCAGGCCCTGCAGCTGCAGTGGGGGCAGGATATGGGACCCTCCCTACTCGACTGCTTGCTCATCTCAGTGTCAGCAGCTGAGGCCCCTTGACAGAACTCCTAATTTGAAAATCACAACTTGGGCCGGCCCCGTGGCTTAGCGGTTAAGTGCACGCGCTCCGCTACCGGCGGCCCTAGTTTGGATCCCGGGCGCGCACCGACGCACCGCTTCTCCGGCCACGCTGAGGCCACGTCCCACATACAGCAACTAGAAGGATGTGCAACTATGACATACAACTATCTACTGGGGCTTTGGGGGAAAAAAAGGAGGAGGATTGGCAATGGATGTTAGCTCAGAGCCGGTCTTCCTCAGCAAAAAGAGGAGGATTAGCACGGACGTTAGCTCAGGGCTGATCTTCCTCACAAAAAAAAAAAAAAAGGAAAATCACAACTACTCTAAGAACACATCTTCATTTCATAATAAAAGTCTCATATTTTAGAATTTAAAATACATATTCCAGGGCCGGCCCTGTGGCTTGGTGGTTAAGTGCGCGCGCTGCAATGCTGGTGGCCCGGGTTCGGATCCCGGGTGCGCATGGAGGCACCACTTCTCCGTCCATCCTGAGGCCGAGTCCCACATACAGCAACTAGAAGGATGTGCAGCTATGACATACAACTACCTACTGGGGCTTTGGGGGGAAAAAATAAAATAAATAAAATCTTTAAAATACATATTCCATACTAGATACATATTTCATACTAGATTTGGGACAGAAATTTGACCCATGCTTTGAGGGATATCTGGAGAACAAATGAACCTCAAGTCTGTTGGGTTTGTGTGAACAATACAATTATAATTTTCAAACTTGGACTCATACACACACACGCTCACACACTTATATTCCCTGGATCTAGCCTAGCTCCTTCCTAATTAACTCTTCTTGTAGGAGGTTTAGAAAACAGGCAGTATAGACCAGGAAGTTGCAGAAAATACAACAGAGAGTCAACTGACATGCAGATCATTGAAAGCTGGATGTTTAAATCAAAAGGAAGTGCTTTTTCTAGTCAGAGAGCCTACTGAGTTTCCAAGAACATTCCCATGAATTTAAGTGTGTAGAAACATGCCTACAGTCTGTGCAGATTTTTTTCCTTAAGTTGGTCACCACAGGGGTGGATTGATTGCCTAAAAAATTGCAAAGCAAAACAAACAATATTTTGGGACTAACTTCGTAGAAAATTGGATTTTCTACTATGCTTTCCCACTACAATATATTGATTTATTTAGCATTTAGGGGAACAATTAGATAATCTTCCCATGGGAAAATCTAATTTTAGTAGGAGTGGGTCAGACTAACTAGGATCTAAAAGCTATGAGTCTCAAACAAATACTTTTTTTTTTTTTTTTTGCCTAGAATCAAGGTTAAGTATAGATGGGAAGAAAAAAGAAAACAAAAAGAAGTAAAAAAAATAACCATATGTATAGGCAGTTTTCCCACACATCATGTGTCCTCACATTTCACATGTAATAGTTTATAAGTTCTTCAGAGTTTGGGGTCAGGTTTTTGTGACTTCAGGGGTTACGCAAATAAGGTTTAACGGAAACCACATTCCAAGTGGAATCTCAGTACCTGGCTGTAGAGTTCTACTGAGGATTCTCCTTTGAGCTGATGGCCTGTGAGGTAGGTATTGTGGGAAGATTCGATGTAATAGTAAGAGAGAGGCAGCTGCAATTCTTTAATGTTCTCCTGCGACTCATCATTTTTCGAGGCAAAATTATCTTTATCCATCAGAAACCTAGAGGAAACAAATTTTCTTAGGATTGCATAGGAAAAATAGATACTCTTCAATGATGGGCAAATGATATTTTAAAAGTCACCTTGCAAATCCTTCAAACGACATTAGGCCCTGATGACACATACTAACGCTGGGCTCGAACTTCTGCAAGGGATACAAAAAGAGTGTTATTTAGGTAAAGGAAACGAAGGGGAAAAAAACACCCCATCATTTTTTAAAGCTGTTCTGTTTTCATCAGGAAACATCTAAACCAAATATTTGAACGACTTCAGTTATGTAGTGGTAAGACGTACTTTTTTAGTCCAAAAGAAAACATTTATTATACGTGAGTTTATTATACGAAGCATATTTATTTAAGAGAAAAAAGGAGAGTGAGAGAAAAGAATAAGACTGATTTATATGAAAACAAACTGTATCAGTTTATACAGGTGAAATGGGGATGATAATAGCAGCTACCAGAGAGTTGGTGGGAGGTGAAATGAGATGATTCTCATAGAATACTAAGTACAGTGCTTGTACTCAATGTTATAGTGAGCATGCAATCATGTGATCATAATCTTACATTTTTAGCATTTTCAGTGATCAAATCCAATTTCTGGACAGCTAATCCACTGATTCCCAATCAGTTGACAGGGGAGGTTGAAACCTAGACTAATTCTGTTGCATGTGATGCAGCCACAATGAATGGTCTCATCCCCCACCCACAACTCCTGCCACCCTCTAGTTGAAGCCATCACCATCTCCAGCCTGGATTACTGTAAAAACTTGCTACCCGGTCTCTCTGCTTCTACTCCTTATCCAGCACAGTTTATTCTTCAATAGGGCCAGAGTGACCTCTTAAAAACATAAATCAAATCACGTTACTCCCCTGCTCAAAAATTTCCAATAGCTTCCCATTTCACACGGACTAAAGTCAAACTCCTTACCACGGCCTAAAATGCCTAGACTATTCGGCCCCTGCCTACCTGTCTGAAATCATGTCTACCATTGTCCCTCTAGCCTACGTGGCTCCCTGTACACCAGCCTTTCTGTTGCTCCTCATAAACCCTGGGCTGGCTTCTGCTTCAGTCTCTCAGCTTGCTACTCTCTGTCTGGAATGCTCCTTCCTCAGACCTTCACACGGCTTCTTCATTCAGGGCTCAGCCCCAGTGTCACCTCCTCAGAGTAACCTTTGCTTACTCCTCTCAGCCCTCCTGCATCACTCCATCCCCTTACTCTGCTCAACTTTTTTCAGAACCCATTATTACCTGAAATTATATCTTTATTTGTTTATTGTCAGCCTCACCCACTTAGAATGTAAGCTGCTTTGAGGGCCAGAACTTGATCTCATTTACTGCTATATTCCCAGGTCCTGGAACAGAGCCAGGCCCATAGTAGGAGCTAACAAATATTTGTTAAACGATCAAAGAGGTTGAAAGCCTAAACTACAAATTCTATTGCATGTGTTAGAACAAGAAGGAATCATGTACTGATTCCTTAAAATAGTCACTGAATAAGAGAAGGCTTGGGACCTATGTTAATTATATGTTAAATAAGAACACATACATTTGATATTTCAAATAAAAACCCCCAAAAACCCTCTGCCCCAGACTTGAAGGCTTTGGAAAGAAGTATAGAAAGAGTAGATGTTTAGCAGAAAATACTTAGAATAATCAGAGGCTTACACATATGTGTGCACATGAAACGGGTACGTACCTGGATGATGCTGAGGATTTCATCATATGTGCAATGTTCTCCTTGGCAATTCACAAGGAAGTCATTGAGCTGGAGTATGCCAACCCCAAATATGCCCAGGGATGTGCTCTCGATCCCAGTGCCATTCGTCACGATACTTGCAGCAGCAATGGCATCAGATATCTGCCTCTGGTTGTCTGACAGCTGTTGTTTACTCTTAATGAACAACCCCAAATCCGAGACATTTCTGGTCAACAGATCTGAAACAGAACATGGACAAGCTAGCCAGCATCTCTCACCAAGTTCATTTTGGAGACAATGGCTTTGCGGAATTATTAATTATTAACTCTCCACTAATTTGTCTAAACAACCCATCAAACTCCAGGCTTATTCTTGGCTTCAATAGTTGAAGGAATAAAAAAATGAATCAATGAATAAATAAAAGAAACTAAGAGAGCACTAGGTCAATGATCTTGAAAGCCCACAAGCTTTGGTATTAGACGGGAACTAATTGTACATTCAACTGGGGACTTGAGGCTGAATTCAGACTTTGGTTTTTGAGAATAACTACTTCTACATTCTTATGTTTGCAGAGACTGAAGATGTACCCTTAAAATTACAGATTTTCTGTACTTTAAAAGTACAACTATAAACATTTGTGTGCAGGTTTCTGAGTGAACATAAGTTTTCAACTCATTTGGGTAAACACCAAGGAGTACAATCGCTGGATCGAATGGTAAGAGTATGTTTAATTTTGTAAGAAACTGCCAGACTCTCTTCTGAAGTGGCTGTCCCATTTTCCTACCAGCAATGCTCCACTTGCTCTGCATTCACACCAACTTTGATACGGCCAGTCATTTTAATTCTAGACACTTTGGAAGTACCTGTCCCCTAAAACTTGGAAGCTACCAAGATGCCTTTCAATATGTGAATGGATAAGCAAACTGTGATACATCCAGACAATGAAATATTACTCAGCAATAAAAAGAAATGAGCCATCAAGCCATGAATAGACATGAAGGAAGCTTAAATGCATATTGCTAAGTGAAAGAAGCCAATCTGAAAAGGCTACATACTGTATGATTCCAACTATATGACACTCTAGAAAAGGCAAAACTATGGAGATAGTAAAAAGATCAATGGTTGCCAAGGGTTCAGAGGGAGGGTGGGAGGAATAAAAAGGTGGAGCACAAGAGATTTTTAGGGCAGTGAAACTATTCTGTATCATACTGTAACGGTGGATATGTTATTATACTTTTCTCAAAACCCATATGATGTACAACACAAACAGTGAACACTAATGTAAACTATGTACTTCAAGTAATAATACTATATCAATATTGGCTCAACTGTAACAAATATGCCACACTAATGCAAGATATCAATAACGGGAAACTGTGTATATGCGTGGGCGGAGAGTATATGGGAAACTCTGTATCTTCTATTCATTTTTTTCTGTAAACTTAAAACTGCTCTAAAAAAATTAAAATATATTATTTTTCTTTAAAGAGTGCTACTACTTGACTAATCCATAGTTATGCACATTTTACGACTGAAGTTGAAAAAGGTTAATATTCTTAGCTTAAGGACAATATAATTTTTTAAATAATTAGAAAGCAACTGCATAAAAAAGGACAGTTTTTCTTTTGTTTTTGCTTATTTGTGTTTATAGTTTCCAGTAAGAACAGACGAGAAAAATAATAGGCTTAAAATGCATGAGTGGTGATGGTAATGGTGGTGATGGTAATGGTGGTGGTGATGAGTGGGATAGAAGAACTAGACATTCTGGTTTACATATTAGGGAAAATGTCTTGGATCTTCAGGAGTGCTCTGCTGAGGTCACTAAAGACTCTCAAACCCACCCTGGGGTTGAGCACCCATCTGCCTGAAAAAGGCAGAGAAGAGACTGGCGGTTCTCAACTAGTACACATCACACACCCAGTGGACATTTGGAAATGGGTGGGCAAGGGTTGTAGTTGTCAGACTGATTAGAAGGCTCTATTGATGAAATATTCTGGAATACATGGACAAATCCACACAATGATGAATTCCTTGCCCCAAACGCCAATAGTACCTGTCCCCATGACACTTTGAAATAATTCTCTAAGTGTTTCACCAGGCTCCAGATAACAGCACGCCATGTGGGACAGGCTGAGGGTTGTGTGATTGGATCTCTAACCTTTGTTTTAGATAGAAAGGTCTCAAAGGGAAATATTCAACTGTTACACAAACCTAGGTCAGGCTGAAGACCACTGGTGTTTTCGTCAATTGTGAGGTTGGTGTAGAGTGGGGCCGACTCAGAGCCAGCTCGGTTGCACGGCACAGCGTAGACATCAAAGAGATCCTTCAGGTCCTTGCGGCTCCTTACACTGGGCGAGGAATGGAAAACACCTCACATTTAGTATTGTTATAAAAATGGGGGGCTGAGAAAGGGTGAGAAGAAAGCATGTCTTACCTGAATGATTTGAACAGCTCAACAAATTCAACGAAACTCATGTTACTGTCTGAAACCATGAAGCTCTGAAAGCCCTTCATTCCTCCTTTGATCCGCCCATGCCAGCTGCTGCTGCTCCAAGCACTGCAACAAAGACATGGCCTTAATGGGCAAAACTGGGGCCGGCTTTGTCATTCCACCCCAAAAGACGTTCTCTAATTAGCAATATGACCAAAAAGATGGATTGCAAGTCATTTAAGGTTTAGGATATTTTCCAGACACTTTTCATTTCTCTCAAAACTATTCTATATTGTGTCAGAGGAAATAAAACATATTACACAATGAAACCACTTCATGTTTGCAGCCTATTTAATAAGGGCACAGCACTGAGGTTAATATTCCTCTACTAATCAAAATAGTTCTTTGAAATCACAGATTAATGGGGGAAAAAACCCTGTAAATTCAGCGTTTTCAAAGAAAAGCCATTTAAAAAAAGAGCTCAAAATTACTCAGTCATAATCTATGGAAAATTATACATGTTCTTTCCCATATTCTAAATTATAGAAACACATTTAAGAAGAAAGTCTTGAAGGTATCAATGTCTTCTCTTTTTCCTTTCTTAACCAGTTCTTAGATGAAAACAGGGAAGGGCTTTTAATACTAACGGAAAATGTGAGTCAGAAAAATATTAAGAATGGAAAGAAGCCAACTCTGCCTAGGATTATATTTGCACCTGCCAAGGCTGTATCTATTCAACATAAAAATACTAGTCAACTCTGTCAAAAATGTTTCACACCATTTTTTATTTTCTATACTGGTTCCCCAAGAGGATAGTGTGAGAAATGTTTTGACTGTAGTTTTTAGTCAAATCAGTGAACAGGACCTTTCTTTTCATCTTTGTTTTCATATTTTATTTTTCACTTTAGAAATATTTCAAATATAAAAGAAAGTATAGAGAATATTGTAATGAATGAACAGTGTACCGTTAATCCTGCTAACAATGTTTATTCATGGAAAATTATTTTGTGTGAAAATCTGAAGGCCACCTTGGTTAAGCGAAGAGTATTACAAAAGAATAGATTTACATTACTTCAGGCATGGGTTGTTGATCCCCAGTGTGGTGTGGGAGACCCGGTAGAGGTTCAGGAAGAGGAAGAAGGTCCGATAAAGAGGCTTTATCATTTGAATTTAAACACGTCCATTCCCTGTTTTCCTTTTGTTTCAGCTTCAGCTGCTGTCTGTAGGCATCCATCTCCCTCTGACTTGAGGAAACTCTATTTGTCCACTCTTTCCCTTTCTAGGACTCAGAGTCTTGCTTTCTCCTTGAACAGGATTCAGGCTGATTTTTCTTTTCCTACCTGGTCTTTTTCTTCTGTTTTAGAATACTTGGTAGGCACAGACCCCTGTCCTCCTGTGGGGCAGCCCTGTGATCTCACATCTGGCAGGTTAGTCTCTCGACTTCTACCTCTTTGAAAAGATTTTCCTCCCTTATTCTGGCCTTCCTTTTCCTGCTCATGAGGGACTGCAATAAAGGGAAAGGCCACCTAATCTAAGTTTTCTGGCTATTTTACTTACCTGGGATACTATATAGGCTGAAATATAATGTAAAGAATTCTGATTCTTTGTAGCTTTTAATTATGTTACAAACCTAAACTTACAGAAAAGATGCAAGAATGGTACAAAGAATTCCCACGTACCCTTGACTCAGTTTTGCCACGTGTAAAAATATGAATGTATAAAGCATAAATTATGTTCATTATTCTCATTGTGAAAGAATGCTGCCTTATAAAAGATGATTTACTGTAGGGTTCTCATCAATAGCAAGCTTCCTTCAGAGTGGGAGAGGGGAGGCGGAGGGGAGAGAGATTATGTGTGTGTGTGTGTCCTGTGTATTAACATTTCCAAAGCCAGTGTCTGCAGACCCATTTCCTCCTCCCACTACTCTGTTTGATAAAGTAAAGAGGGCTGCTTTATCTTGGTTCCGTCTAGAACCTCTGCATTTCTTAAACTTTAGTGTGGGGTCGAGGGAGATAGCGTGGAATTCTGATTCCTTTGGAAGACTTTCATTTTAATATTATTTCTTCTGAGAGAGTATGTGTTGTTTCAAATCTGTAATTTGCATGGATCTTATAAAATAATTTACTATAATACCATACCAGCTTTAGAATTATACCTAAACATATCCAACTTGCTATAATACATTCATTTCTCTAGACATGTATATCTTATCTTATGTATGAGAAGAGTATTAAATATATTTCACCCATTAGCAAACGGTCAAGCAGATTACGTTAAAACTTAATTTATTCTTCAATTTAGAGCAATCCGATAGAACTTTTTGCAATGACAGAAATGTTCTATATTTGCACTGTTCAGTACAGTAGCCACCACCCACTTGGAGCTATGGAACACTTTTAATGTGGCTAGTGTGACTGAGGAACTGAATCTTAAATTTTATTTAATTTTAATTAATTTAAACAGCCACCTTTTTTTTTTTTCCTGTGGCTAGTGGCTACTATACTGGGCAGTGCAGATTTAGAGTCACAGCTCGGGTTTCGTTACTGCTACTGACCTTTGAAGAGCTGGTCTATCAAATAATTAAGAGCAATTATAGTAATATGAGAAGGTAGAAGTATAGAATCAGGAAAATTAGGAGCATTTAAAAATCTGGGGTTTTTCAATTTTCAATGTAATTGTTAGGTCAAAGTTAGAGACAGTCTTTCCATAGAGCACTGGAAGAAGACGCCCTTCTACACAACTTGAATGATGTGAAGGGTCCTTCTGTTTTATCATGTTAAGGCCCCACCTGGACGGGCTCTTGTTTGAAGAAGACAACACAGGGGAAGACACTGGCCTGATGGGAGATGATGTCCCGGCAGCCAAGTTAGGGGACCCAGCCGTGGTCAAAGAGTGGGCTCTTCTGGAAGGGAGAGGGTTAGGAGGGCTTGTGATGGCATTTGCCTCTGTGAAAACGAAAGACAAAAGCGACAACGACTCCAATTATACTTTCCCTCAGAAATCAAATAAAAATCAAAGATGCCTCTGAAAGTCTGAGCAAATCAATCTATGCAGGCAATTTCTATATAACAAGCATCAAAATATTCTGATGAATGGACTAATCTGGTGGGTTCTTAATCCTGGCTACACATTAGAATCATCCAGGGAGCTTAAAAAGCATATCGATGTCCAGGTCCCAGCCAGAGAGTGCCTGAACTGTGTGGCCTGGGGTGTGACCAGGACATCTAGGTACTTTTTTTTTTAAAATAATTTTTTAAATTTATTTATTTTTCCCCCAAAGCCCCAGTAGATAGTTGTATGTCATACACATCCTTCTAGATGCTGTATGTGGGACACGGCCTCAGCATGGCCGGAGAAGCGGTGCGTCGGTGCACGCCCGGGATCCGAACCCGGGCCGACAGCAGCGGAGCGCGCGTACTTAACTGCTAAGCCACAGGGGCGGCCCCCATCTAGGTACTTTTATAAAAGCTCTAGTACCCAGCTGGGGTTGAGAATCACTGGTCTAATCCATCAAATTGTATCTTGTATATTGAAAATTCCCTGTCAATAATGGCAAGGCAATGAATGAAATTTTCTTCCAAGTACTGTGCTTGCAGAAATACCTCTTGGGTTACATCACGTAGTTAAAAACAAAGGTAAGTATATTTAACAAGATAAAGAGTCTGTTAAGAATGCCCACAATACTTAAATCACAATTTAAAACCAAACACATATTTTTTCCGTAAAACAAAAAAAATCTCAGATGTGAATACGCTGCTTACCCGACTCTTCTTGTTCATTAACATCTTGAGGGTCAGAACCACTCCGGCTGCGACACTCTTTCTGCGTTTTGGCCTTTCGTGTGGCCATCTCGTCGTCGGTTACCTCTCCACTCTCACCCTGGGAACACAACACTCACAATGTTTCTCATTCTGTATTTCTCTCCCACCACAGCTTTAGTTCAGGCAGGTCTCTATTTTCTGACACCTCCAATACTGCCCCCTCCTAGTGAAACCAGTAGAGACCTCCGTGAAGGCTGACCAAGTATTCTCAGGTGACATTATCTTGTTTGTTCTTCACTATAAAGCAGCACTCCTTAAGGGAGGGGACCGACAAGAGGAGGCACACAATCCCTGGGATCTCGGGGTAGAGACAGAATTATGAAGCAGATAAAGTTTGACTTAGGCTTCAATAGCCTTCTATATACAAAGAGTGGGACTTTTTCTAGATAACCATGGAGAAAACATATTAACATGTAATAATGATAATTATTGCATTAATGCATTGCAATAATGATAATGTTGCATTATATAATGCAACATAAAATATATAGTCATTATATATATATATTTTATTATAGTAAAAAACACGTAACATAAAATTTACTATCTTAACCATTTTTAAGTGTACAGTAGAGCAGCGGTAACTATATGTACCTGGTTGTACAACAGATATCTAGAACTTTTTCATCTTGCAAAACTGAAGTTCTATACCCATTGAACAACAACTCCCCTTTTCCCCCTCTCCCTAACCCCTGGCAACCATCATTCCACTTTCTAAGAGTTTGACTCCTCTAGAAACCTCATGGAAGTGGAATCATGCAGTATTTGTTCTTTCGTGTCTGGCTTATTTCACTTAGGCTAATGTCCTCAGGGTTCATACACATTGCAGCATATGATGGGATTTCCTTTTCTTTTTTTTTAAGGCTGAATAATATTCCATTGTACGTATATTCCACATTTTCTTTATCCTTCATTTGTGGATGGGCATTTAGGTTGCTTCTAGTGATAATATATTTTAAATTGTGTTCTACAATATAGCATTTTGGCCCTCTAAGACCTTCATAATCTGATCCTTTTCCTTTCTAGTCCTTTGCCCACCACAGAGCCCATGCTCCAGCTTGGAGCATGATCTCAGAACTACACGTGCTTCCTTGAACAAGCCAAATCTCTCATGCCTCTCTGCTACCTCCTCTGTCAGGGATGCTTTTCCTTGGGTTGTCTGTCTGGTAAACTCCTACATATCCTTCAAGACCTATCTGTCAACTTCTGTGTGATGCCTTCCCTGCGTGCCTCTCAGCCTGATATTTTCCTTCTTTCTGCTCCCACAGCACTTTGTAGGCAGCTTGGCAATGACTCTTATTTAGATCTCACTGTGTTTGTTAACATATCTGTGTCCCTCTACAGACCCTGACTTTTTCCTGGTGTTGATTCAGTTCCCAGAACTGGACCTGGCACCTAGGAGGCACTTGGTAAGCCCTTGTATTTCATTTGTTTTATACCTCGTCTTGTCCCAACTCAAATGACCTAAGGTACTTTATGGTGATGTAGACCATACGGTCGTCTGGATGGATTGGGTTTGATGCTTAATAAACAAGTAACACCCTACCCTCATGAGGATTTTCTTCTTTTTCTTGGTGGTGCTTATGCCCAAGGTGTTGTTTCTCTGCACACCGGGCTTCTCAGCACTCTTTGCTGATGTCCCAGGGCTGGGGTTTCGAGTACTCCATCGTCTGCCACCAAACAACTCCACGGCGTGAGCCAAAGTTGGGCCTTCATACCGTCCATCTTCCTGTAAAAGAACCACATGCCGAACACATGAGGGAACAGCAAGCACTGGGGAAGGGCACGGGCAGCCACCGAGGAATAGTGATCTGGCCACCCAAGTAGCTCTGCTTCCCAACTGTCAGGACTCTTGAGTGGGGACTTCATCACGTGCTCTGTAGTCCTGGTCACATCCCTGCTGAGTTCTAGCGATGTGCTTTCATAGGGCCACCTTCAACTGAGGTTAACAAAAAGAATTTCCTTTCCCAGTTTCAAAGGTTACGTTCCAGAATTACTAATGCAGGAAAATTCATTAAAATGTACTTTGCAAATTAGGGCTTTGGAGGACTTGGTGTGTGTGTGCGTGTGTACGTGAATCTACTTAAGTAAAATCAAGTTCTATTAGTTATTGCATCACTCTAGGTAGATTTTCACCTAGGCTGATGCTTGGCACAGTCTGACTTGAAATATAGGGTATGTGGCATACATGAAATTCACTTTGGAGGGCTCTGGGGAGCACCTCAAATAGTAGGGCTGCCATCCTCTTGAGTGACTGATATCCAAGGATAGAGAGCCCAGGGGACTCAGAACACCATGCATATTATGATGTGCTGTGAGCAAAAACACACTTAAGGGGCAGGCAATGGTTTAAAATGGCTGTTTCTCATAAGGCAAGTCCATGTAACAAGCATTGAGCAGCAGTAGGGATTTATTTATTATTTTTTTGTTTTGTTTTACGGCTGAGGAAGATTCGCCCTGAGCTAACATCTGTTGCCAATCTTCTTTTTTTTTTTTTTTTTTTCGCTTGAGGAAGATTAGCCCTGAGCTAACATCTGTGCCAATCTTCCTCTATTTTGTATGTGGGACACCTCCACAGCAGGGCTGATGAGTGGAGTAGGTCCACTCCCGGGACCCAAACCCATGAACCTGGGCCGCTGAAGTGGAGCGTGCAGAACTTTAACCACTGGGCCACGGGGCCGGCCCCAGATTTATTAATAAACAATGGTCAATGATTCTTCCAATAAGTCAGGAAAGCCAGTTAATAAAACTACAAAAGGTCACATATGAATTAAAGAAAATATTGATGATATGTCACAGGTTGTATAAAAGGGCCTTTTAAAAATTAATTTCCCTTTACTATCTTTACTTTCTGCAAACCTTACTATCTTTACTTTCTGCAAATCTTACTATCTTTACTTTCTGCAAACCTTTAAGGCTAGTCCTCCTTTGCAGTTCCAAAGAAGTGCTTGTAAACAGATTTTGCTTTGTTGTAGATAATATGCAAACAATAAAGAAGCTTTGTGTGTATGTGCTTGCTCCTTCATTCTAATGTTCAATGACTGTCTGATTTTATGACTTGAGTTGTGACCTCCCACTTCCCGCATCCTGTTATGGATCCTAAGATGCTGAGTAACTTGGATACCCGACGTGGGAAACCTTTTGGTGATTTCTAGTAGTGGATATCTATGACTTATTCCTGTCCATTAATTATTTCTCTCTTCTCTAACCACACCCCAATTTTACTTTATCTTTTTTCCACTGGATACAGTCTTGGGTCTGTCAATCAAGGTGGAACATTCTCCCTTGACCAATGGTTGGCACAAGATCCAAATAAGCCAACTGGAATCTCCCTCTCTGGAAAATGAATCTTGAATGCAGAGATACAGAGAATGAAAATGGTTGGAGATCATTCCACTTGATGCAGGCCTGCTGAAGACAGTCCCCTAACAAGTCACTACGATTGACTCCAACATGGAATAAACACTTCATGACACAATTTCATAAATAGGTTTTAACTATCTTATTGAATAACATACTCTGAATCTGAAGGAAATTTTGTAAAATTTTATCTATGGATTATAACCAATACATCTTTAAAAGTTTAATAGAGGGCCGGCCCCGTGGCTTAGCGGTTAAGTGCGTGCGCTCCGCTACTGGCGGCCCGGGTTCAGATCCCGGGTGCGCACAGATGCACCGCTTCTCCGGCCATGCTGAGGCCGTGTCCCACATACAGCAACTAGAAGGATGGGCAACTATGACATACAGCTATCTACTGGGGCTTTGGG